GCACGAGCAACGCTGGGAACGGGCCCCTCACTGGAGGGACCTTGGTGCTGGGAGCAGAGCAGTGCTCTCCCTGGGCGACCCTCCCAGGCTCTCCGTGGAGGCTGCAGAGAGAGCGGGCTGGGCGGGCCGAGGGCGTGGCCTGTGCTGACACGGAGCCAGCCTGCTGCTCTGAGTCAGTGGCCTGGTAAGGCTCAGATGATCCGGGGCTGGACTTTGACCTTGTATTTAGATGAGTATTTTTTCCTAACCCCAAGATTCCCACATCCCTTCTGGAGAAATGCGTGGTTTTTCCGCACACCAGAAGCTCGGCCTCCCTGGGAACCAGGGCCTGGGGCTCAGCATGTGCGGAGTGCGTTGAGATAAAGCCTCGAAGGTCTAGAAGTCATGTTTTCACATCCACAGCTTGACCCGTGCTTTGGAGTCGGGAGCCAGTGCGCAGGCAGAGCGGCCCCATGGGGAAGTGTCCTGTTAGGGTACGCTCATAAGCGTAAGCAGGTGAAATTCTTCCAGAGCGGCCGGGCCTGCAGAAAGTAGAGGCGACTTGGTGGGAATAAAATGCATGAACTTACAAAGACTGCTCTCTTTCTGGGTCTGGGCCCCCCACGGACTGTGGGCATGGCTTGCTGTGTCCCTCGTGGCTTCCGCAGGAATGTGCGTGGACACAGGAGGACTCAAAAGACGTTGGCGGGCTGCGTGGGGGGGGGGGGGTGACTTGAATCTGTGCCTGGGCTGGTCAAGTGAGCCGCACCCCCTGCACAGCCCAGGCCACGTTGTTGTGCGCTGAGGACACCCCAGTTTTCCCAGAAGCCCCCTGCTGTCCCCCCTCCCCCGGCCCCCGCCCAGGACAGTCTGGCCTCCCTGGGTTTCCCCTGAGTGCTCATCCTCTGTCTGAACACAGCCTGTGTTCTTTGGATCATCGTCCCGACCTCGGCTCTCCACCCACCCTGCTCTTTTCCATCCCAAATCTGGCCGGGTGTGCGAGGGATCGGTTTTGCAGGCTGCTTGCAGGGGGAAATGACATCACGTGGTGTCCACGGCCCCAGGGGTGGGGGCAGGGCTCCGTGGTTGCGTGTGCTTTGAATTAAGTCTATGGCCGAGCATTCCAGTAGCCAACATCTGGCGGTGAATTCATCAGCCAGTGTATCACCCTTGATCTCAAACCCAGATGTTGTGTTAACGGCAGAAGGGAAAGAAGAAAAAACAACATCGGAGCAGCTCGGGGAGAGGCCATCATTTTTTAGCACAAAGCAGTTAGAACGAGGAGCTTTATAAAGCCTCTAGTTCCCGCCGCTGCCTCTGGATCCTACGGCGAAGGGCAGGCCAGCGGAGCAGAGCCCCTCGCTGCTGGGGGCGGGGTGGGCAGGCCGTGGGCCGATCACCCACCCCAGGGCCAGACACCTGGCCCAACACATAGTAGGTGTTTAGCAAACGTGTGTCCCTGCCTGGATTTTAGTTTCCTCTTAGATTCTCCAGATCGTCCCCAGCCCTGGTCTTTCAGTGGCCCGGGACTAAGGCCCCATCCTGTGCTTCGTATGGTCTCCATCCCAGAGCGCTGGAGATGCCCATCGCCTGGGGTGTGGGACAGTTCTGGAGAGCTCTCCGCCTCCTCCCTGTCCGCCGCTAGCATGCGCTTTTCTGCTTTCCTGTCCATTGTCTGACTTCTTGCCTGCATAGGATGCTCCTTGAAGGCTACCTCCATCACTGAAGACCCTCCTGCGCCTCCCCCCAGAAGGAGACCCATGCTTTTAGGGTTTCACTTGAAAAGCACCCCGATCTCAGGCTCTGAGTTTGGTTGGTAAGACATCCCCACTCTGGCCTCGTGCTGGGGGCAGAAGGCTGAGGGTCCAAACGTCGGGCAGCCAGAGCTGGCTGGGGTCCACCTTGATCCCTCCCCCCAGCCGCCCCTCCCTGTGGGGCCCCTCTGTCCTGTTTCCCCTCAGGTCTCCTGCCTTCACTCGCCTGCGGGATCCTCGGGCTGTGATGAATTTACTCGCTAACGCTTTTCGTGGGCCCTTCCCCCACCTGCAGTGCTGACACAGTAGCATCTGGGGCTCGAGCCTGCAGGGACCGGCGTCCGCTTCGTGTCTCTCTTCATGCCGGAGGGGGTTGGCGCTTTCGGGAGATTACTCCTTGCTCCGTTCTCTTTCTTCCCTTCCCGTTCTCTCCCACTTTGCAAAGTGGAGTGGGGGGTTCCCACCCAGAATTCAGAGATGCCGAGGAATCTGAGTTCTTGTGTTGCATGGACGAGCTCTGCCCGGGTTCCTCCTGGCCCCGCCCCCACTTCCCTGCAAGCAGCGGGCGGCCCAGGAGCCGGTTAACATTCCAGGGCTGCCCCGCGAGCCCACCCTGCACCCCGGATGCCACCGGTGCCTTCCTTCTGATAATCTAAGAAAGGCAAGTGTGGGGTCTGTCGCCCTTGGGCAAAGCAGGTGCGTCTGGGTTCGTGGTGACCGGCATGTGCCGCCGGCAGGTGCGGCTCTCCAGACCCGTCACCCACAGCAGCGGGGAGGTGCGTGCCCTCCTTCGCCACAGTGCTGCTGCCCCGTCGTCCGGAACTAGGGGTCCGTGGCGTGCTGGGCACTGTGTGTCCCAGATGCCCTGTTTCCTAGTCCTCATGCACCCGGGTGGAGGGCGGGCACCGTCTGCTGCAGGCGTGAGTGTCCCCGGGAGACTGCGCGGCGGGCTGGGGGCTAATGCAGGATCCGGCCCGGTGCTGCCCCTTTTTGAGTTAGGATTTGGACTGCGAGGGAGGCTTAGGGGCTTTGTTGGGAGGAAAACCATGGACATTAGTGCATGGAATGGGACAGAACCTTTATGCTGTTTGAGAGAAGTTCTTGCTTGTTTTCTGATTGCCACTAAGTGGTGTGTTTCTTGAGCACCTATTTCGGGTTAAGCATTGTTTCTGGAAAGCAGTTCCAAGAAGCATGCCGAATTGGGTGGGTTGTGGCAAAATCCAGCAGCACTGCCCTTTCCCGAACCCTGGTCTCCCTTGCCTGTTCCTGGTTCATCTGATCTCATCAGCCGGTGACGGGGCCGCGAGGACAGGGCTAATCTGATTCGTTTCCTGATTTGGATGAACACTTCTTGGCGTGGCTTTGCAATAGGGTGTGGATCAGGCAGATAGTAAGAGGGAGCACAGACAGACATCACCTGGCGGGTACCGACTGCTCTGTGCTTGGAACATAGCCTTTGCCTGTTAGAAGCTCCGGGGCCCTGAGCACACAGGATAGATGAGAGGCGTGCAATGTGCCAAATGCCATGGGAAGATGAGATTTCCCAGAGCTGGATGGAAAAGGGCAATTTTATCTGGGTTTTGAAGGATGGATAGAAGTTTTCCAGGTGGGGGGATGGTAGATGGCATTCGGGGCAGAAGAAACTTGTCTGTCCAGAGGTGGGGACACCCCTGGGCAGGTTTGAATTCAAGGGACTATTACGGACAGGCAGGACAGCGGGACAGAAGCAGCCAGGGCGACTGAGATATCTACGGCCTGGCAGCGGGTTGCAAAGGGCCGCCTGTTTTAGATGAGGGCAGCGGGTGGCTGAGGACACCTGAGCTGGCAGGGACGTGGCTAGACAACGTCAGCTGAGGCTGGGGGCAGGAGGGACCACTGGGAACAGGCTGACCTGCTGCTGAGGGCAGAGCCCTCGCTCTGGGCGGCCCCCTGGCGGGCATTTCCTAGATATGTGGGTTTGCAGGTTGGGGCCTGGCTCAGCCCTGGAACGGGAACTGTGACCTCGGCTGGTCGTGACTCAGCTCCAGCAGAAGACATAAGAATGGGGCTCGGGACCAGGGGACAGAGCAGGGGGTGCTGGCCCCTGGTGCCGGCCGGGGTCCGGGCGATGGGCACAGACGGGGTCCACGTGCCAGGGCTCCGTGGGGAGGACCACCCTAGCCAGGGAGTCCCGAGGTTCGAGCTGCCTGCCCGCGGGTGGAGAACGGAGGTGCCTTGGTGCCTGGCTCTGTCTGCCCCTTATTCCTCTGTTTTGCCCACATCCACGTTAATGTGGCCCTCGCCCAGGTGACCCCGCACGGCTAAGCCTTGGAGGGCAAGGCTTTTAAAGCTCTTAAAACAGACCGTGCCACCAGCTGACAGGCCTCAACGTGAGCGAAGGGAGGGCCCTGCCCACATGACCCGGGAACTGGGGACCCACCTCCCTGGTCAAGTCGAGGGTGGGGCCGGGGTCTACCTTCATTGCCGGGAGGGGGCCCTGTGGTGCCTGGCCCACCAGCAGCCTCAGGCGCTTGCAGACACTCCAGAACCTTCCCAGCCTGACCTCTCCCCTCTCCTTCACCTTGCGTCCCGGTCTGGGGTCATTTTCCTTCCTCGGCAGCAGCCCTTTGCCCCTGAATGTCTCCTCACCGGGTTCGATGCCCTTTGGCGGGTAGAGCGCTCTGACTCTTCCCCTGTCGTGGCCGCTATGGAACGTGTGTCATTATTAGAGTCGGCCACAGGAGAGTCAGGGACACTTTGAGGACAGATGGGGAGTCTCAGGATAGACCGTTCAGAGGGAAGAACCCCCAAACCTAAATACGATGAGGCCTCTTGGTGATGCTGTTACCCCTCGGCCTTCAGCCCGATAAAAGCCCGTTTGCCTGTAGGCTGCGGCCGGAGGCCGGGGGGTAGGAGGCCCCGCGTCCTAACTGCGCGACGATGATTTGCGGGCTCACCTGCATCCACAGTGGAGAGAATTTTCAGAAGCCCCAAAGCACTCACGTGTGAGCTCCACACAGAGCTTCGCTCTGATCGGTGACCCCCGGTGACCCGCCCGTCACACGAGACCAGGCCGCGCCCCACCCCCCTCCGCGGCGAGCGTTCTCATTGATGCTTCCTGGGACCAGAAGGGGACCTCGGGGCTTTACGTCTGGGCCCTCCGCCCCGAGCTTGTGGGCGGGGGTCCTCTCGCCCCCTGCCTCCCGCCTCCCTGCCGCCCCCCACCCTTCCTCAGAGCCAGGACGGCACGGTGCGGGCTCCGCTCACCTCTGCGTCTTTATTTTGCAGTGATTAGGGCCAAGGCGGTCAGCATGAAGGAGGTGGACTCTGGGAATGACATCTACGGCAACCCCATCAAGCGCATTCAGTATGAGATCAAGCAGATAAAGGTAAGGGAGACCCTCGCCGAGTCGGGGGGAAGGGTGGGAACGAGGTGGGGTCCCCCAGAGGCAGGGGCCCACAAGGAGGTGGAACTTGGGGAGCGCAGCGCGGCCTCCGTGGAGCAGACCTCAGGGCTTGGAGCCCCGAGTCGGTCCGACCCTCCTTGTCTGTAAATGCCCGAGAAGTTGTGGGGACCCGCCCTGCCCCCTTGGCTGGGCTCCTTCGGAAACGTGCCGTCTGCATTTTGATGGAGAGTAAATCCGGGGCGCCCTCAGCCCCGTCAGCAGGTTTGGCAGAGTTTTTACGGCCGGTTCCGCGGGTGCCCGACGCCGGCCGCGCTGGTGCGAGGTTCGAAGCCAGGAGAGCGTGGCCGTTGCGTCTGGGAGGCCTCATTCCCCCAGACGGCGCTGTGGGCTCTGGTCTTGCCCGGTCAGCTTTACAGTCTAAGAGGCAGGCGTCCCGGGGGCAGGGTGGCGGGGCCCGGCCGGCCGGTGACCAAGAGGGATCCCCGCCAGCTAGCAGAGGGCGGGCGGGCCTGGGGGCTGTGGACCGAGGAGGGGGTGGGGGACGATGCGTTAGTTTTTTCAGAACGTTTGTTCATGTTCAAGGGCAAGGAGCCCGTCTTTGAGGGGAGGCGGGGGGGGGGTGGAAAGAGGGGAGCAGCCCTGGAGGACAGTGATCGTGTCAACAGTAACTACCGTCTGCAGGATGGAAGGGAATTCTAGGCTCTAGCGGGAGCAAGGGCTTTGTAAAGGTAGCAAATTTAACTTTGTTACCAAAATTAAATGTTATTTTTAGTGGGATGTGTTATCAGAAGGTCAGTGAAATGCTAGCTCCTTCCATCTGTAGCAGTTCAGAGGGTGACCTGCGTTCCCAGGGCCCATCTGTGTGGGCGGGAGAGAGAACACCTCTGTCCTCGCGACCTCATTAAGGCATCCCGGAAAGGCGTTTACGCCACAGAACATTCTTGCCCTTCGGTGAAAGACATCGTTTAATAGAGCACATTGGTGTCACCGTCGGCCTAACCTTTCCAGGCGTGGCGTGGATGAGCTCTCGCAAAGCAAAGCCGGTTTATCATGACATTGAGATGACCCCGTCTCACCGGCGTTTGCTTGTTCAAAGCCCCCCTCCCCCCATCCTGCCCCCGAAACGTGACCAGAATCCCGATGAGGTTCCTGTGCGATTGCAGAGCCCAAGGACGGCTGCGTGCCGTATCCTCTGCTGGTCTGCGTGTTTTCCCCTTTCCACTGCCTCCCCGCCCCGCACCCCTGCCCCCTGGGCTGCCCCCCACGCCCGGGGAGGAGGGCACACTCACGTCCCTGCCTGTCACTCTCCCGGGTGGGGCCACGGGAACTGCTGGCTGCGGTGGGCTGGTAGCTGCCACGCTACCTGATGAGCGATTCCAGAGCCTCCTCCCTGCACGGGAATGGTCACCTTCTCATCTAGCTCGTTGGGACCTTCTGTCCCCGTTTCTCACGCGGATGGTACCACGGGTGCCAGCCGGGGACACCCCTGATGTTACACGGGGGACCCCGACTTTGTTAGCCGTGCGGGCCGGCTCTGCTCCCATTTCCTCACCCCGCCCTTGTCTTCCCAGATGTTCAAAGGCCCTGACAAGGACATAGAGTTTATCTACACGGCTCCTTCGTCTGCTGTGTGCGGGGTGTCGCTGGACATCGGAGGGAAGAAGGAGTATCTCATTGCAGGTGCGTATGTGACCGGGACCATCCAGGGCTGTGCCTTCGGGGCAGGAGCTTGAGAAACCACGAGGCGGGACGGAGTCCTGGGTCCTGACACCGACCGAGCGGCTGTCCCCAAGTCTCGGGGCGCCCCTGCCCTTTCCCGTCTGAGAGCTCCTGGTGAATTCTTGCCCGCCCCCCAGAACAGGGGAGCCGGCGTGACTGGACGGCGAGCTGCCGCGAGGCGAGCGCGCCGGCCCGTGGCCCCTGGAGGGGTCGTGCGCCAGGTGCCAGAAGCGCTCACGGCTGGGCGGGAGGCAGGGGGAGGGGAAGAGCCGGTGCTGAGTCTGCTGATGTTATGAGGTCCCCTACCTGTGCGGCGGGTCTCTCTTTTCCTCGTTATGATGGTGAAGCACACATGACGTCACATCTGCCGTTTGGACCACGGTTAGGTGTCCAGTCGGTGGCGTTAAGCACATTCGCGCTGACTCGTGGCAGTTAACGCCCCCCCTTCCAGAGCCCTTCCCGCCTCGTGAAACCTTCGTCCCCGTGACGCACAGCGGCCCCTGCCCCTCCCCCTGCCCCTGGCGCCCACTGTCCGTCTCTGGATTTGGCCGCTCGGGGGACCTCGCAGGACGGGATGAGACCAGGGCCTCAGGCTCCTCCACGCAGCAGGTGTCGGGATTTCGATCCTTTTTCTGAGGCGGAGGGATCATTCCATCGTGGGGAGAGACCACATTTTGTTTTGGGCTGTGTCTCTTGTTTATTCTTTTTCTTTTTTCATTTTTTAAATTTTTCTTTTTTTTAAGTTTATTTATTTTGAGAGAGAGAGAAAATAGAAGCAGAGGAGGGGCAGAGAGAGAGAGGTGGAGAGAGAGAACCCAAGCAGGCTTCTTACCGTCAGTGCAGAGCTGGAACATGGGGCTCGAACTCACAATCTGAGAGATCGTGACCTGACCTGAAACCAAGAGTCAGACGCTTAACCGGCTGAGCCGCCCAGGTGCTCCTTGTTTATAGTTTATTCTTTTTTTTTTTTTAAATGTTTTTTATTTATTTCTGAGAGAGAGAGAGCGTGAGCAGGGGAGGATCAGAGAGGGAGGGAGATACAGAATCTGAAGAAGGTTCTAGGCTCTGAGCTGGCAGTCAGCACAGAGCCCGACACAGGCCTTGAACCCACGAACCGCGAGATCATGACCTGAGCCGAAGTTGGACGCTTAACCAACTGAGCCGCCCAGGCGCCCCTATAGTTTATTCTTTTTTTTTTTTAATGTTTTTTTATTTATTTCTAGGAGAGAGAGAGAGAGAGCGTGAGCAGGGGAGGGTCAGAGAGAGAGGGAGTCACAGACTGAAACAGGCTCCAGGCTCTGAGCTGGCAGTCAGCTCAGAGCCCGATGCGGGGCCCAAACCCACGAACCGCGAGATCATGACCCAAGCGAAAGTCGGACGCTTAACCGACTGAGCCACCCAGGCGCCCCACCCTATAGTTTATTCTTAAGTAAAACTATTTCCCTTTACTTCTTACTACCTCCTCTGCCCGCCTGGCAGGCTGCACCCCAGGGGCGAGGGCAGGGCCTTCCGCCCTCAGCAGCGTTGACATCTGGGACCAGATCGTGCTTTGCCGTGGGGCTGCCCTGTGCCGCATCCCTGGCCTGGACCTGCTAGTTGCTCTAACATCCTCCGCACTGCTTGCCGCATCTCCAGACCTCGGCCAACGCCCCCTGGGGACAGAACTGCCCCGAGCGGAGACCCACGGGTGTAACAGATGCAGGCGCTCTGGGTCTGTGGTGCCTGAGGCTACTGGGCACTTGGACTGATGAGCTGAGAAACTGCAGCTTGAATTTGACTTCACTTCAGTTGGTTTACCCGCGAGCGTAAGCAGCCGCGCGCGGGGAGGAGGGTGCAGGACTGGCCGGTGCTGCGTCTGTCTGTCTGCCCCGGAACCTACCCTGCTCTTCTGGGGAAGTACGAGTCCGGCCACAACCTGGAGAAGGGACGGGGGAGGGACGTCAGCTCCTCTAGACGGGCGGTGTATTTTGTCACATAATCCGGATTTAATTGTGGGGCACGCTGCAGGGGGAAGACGCAGTGAAGAGCGAGCAGGGCAGGGGACACGCCTGTCCCCTCTCCTTGAAGAATCCCTCCCTCCAAGTGGGTGATGGGAGACTTTTTTCTTTTTTTATGGGCACTTCTGACCTTTCTAAATGCTTTCTTTTTTTGTAATTTTTTTCATGTTTATTTTGAGAGAGAGAGAGAGACAGTGTGAGCAGGGGAGGGGCAGAGAGAGAGGGAGACACAGAATCTGAAGCAGCTCCAGGCTCTGAGCTGTCAGCACAGAGCCCAACACCGGGCTTGAACCCACAAACTGCAAGATCATGATCAGAGCCAAAGTCAGGGGCTCAACCCACTGAGCCACCCAGGTGCCCCCTAAATGTTTTCTTTTTTTTTTTTTTAAATGTTTTATTTATTTCTAGGAGAGAGAGAGAGACAGCATGAGCAGGGGAGGGTCAGAGAGAGAGGGAGTCACAGACTGAAACAGGCTCC